CATCCAGTGTTTCCACGGTAATTGGAAAGGCCTTATTTATTTTTTAGTTCGTTCGTTTTTTTTGTATTTTTAAGGGTTAGTCCTGGGATAATCCGAGCACTGATTTCAGGTAATGATCTGAATGTAAGGTCTACCAGAAAATATCAACCTCCCTATAGTCCGTCCCTCAATTTTTGAGGTTATCCACTCCTAGATTTCAAAATTCCTTCTGTCGACTATAATTCAACTACTGTATAGCTACTTATTGAATCCTTCCGCCACTGACATGTACTGTCGTTTATACGGCCTTTCATTGGTCCATAAAACTCCATGATAGGTTTTCCGCCTCCTACTTTTTGACGCAAACATAATTCGTGAATTATTTAGAGCATCATCCAGGATATCCCGATTAATTAAGAGTTATTTTCCATAGAAAAGAGAAAATACGACGGCTCCCCCCCCCCCCACGGTGTAGATATGCAGAGCGCATGGAAGGTGCAATATGTTCGAAACCCAGTTGTCTTATTAGAATAAAACAAGGAATGAATGCTGACACGTGAAAAAATATTTTCCAAGGCGTCCAGTTATAGCTCAACTCCCGTCCATGCAGAGTAAAAGCTCGACACAATCCGTCAAGCGTGAAACATCGGGGTGCAACACGGTCTTTGTCAGAAAAGTTTTCGGCACAGCGGCGCTTTTGCATGAACCAAGTTTGTTTGTCTTGGGGCTCAACGTAAATTAGAGTTTTGTGTCGGAAGACGAGGTTCAGCTCCGTCGCTTCCCCAGCGTGCGGGGCTTGACATTTCCCCCGGAATCTGCCGCCGAGGCAATCGAGGGAAGAGTTTTTTTTATTATTATTTTTTGGGTCGCCCCTAAAAAACACGGGAAGTGGAGGATGCTAAGTTTTGTTGGTTTTGCCAGTCCTCGCAAAAGGGATCCGGGAAAGCTGGATAATCGCCCCCGGGCAGCTATGCAGCGGACGATTGCTGATGCTACTGATAGCTCGACCTCGCATTTGCTCCGTCCTCGCGAAGAACGAAGTTCAGGTCTCATCAACAGTGGAACATCGCGCAGAAATTCCTGGGGGACGAAATCTCGTTTTTCCCTCCAGCAGCGAGACCCATTCCTCTCGTATCATGGCGCAAAACTTTTTATTATTTGACTCGACGGACTCATAAGTGTTCATTGCTTCCTCTCTCTCTCTCTTTTCGCGATGATGTACCTTTTTTTGCGGCGTAGAAAAAAAAAACAAAGCCTGACGTTGCTTTACATCCAAGCACCAGCTGGGACTTCAACCCCCGCACACTGAAGCCCGATCCCACTCGAGCACTCGTACGCATGTAGGCGGTCGATTCCGCGTCGCAACTCGCCTTATAGACACAGGCCGAGAAATCCCAGGAAAAGTCGATGAGGAAACCGACTCTTGAAAAACACACACGAGAGTCACCGCCTCGTTTCGGAACTCTTCTGCTTTCGTAAACACAGCTGCAGCATCAAGAAAGTAACAACATTTTTTTTTAAGCGACCGTAATTATTTTCATTACTGCAAGTCAATGTTGAACCTGGCTTCTTGCCAGAAAGATGGCTTCCTGAGGAAAGAAAAAACACCGTATTTACTCGCGGATAATTCGCAAGGGTTTACTTCCTCTGAAAAACCCTGCTGCGGCCTACTCGAACTGAGGTATCCATCCATGGGCCGCAGTGACTAAAATTATTTATTCAATGTGAGATACGGTAATGTCTCAGATTTTTGCTGACTTCGGTTCAAACGGTGGAAAATCCATTGTCAATTTTGAGTATCCGTGATATTCACCGAAATTCACCCGAAGGTTCTACAGCATTTTGAATTGCTTCAATGCTGGATCAGCATCAACACTCCAGGCCTAGGGGCACCGCTCCTTTTTGGAGAAAAGTGCGCATATAGGAATGAAAACGTCGCTTAACAGAAAGAATGTCCTCACGCATTCCCGTATACATGTCGGATGGGGATGAAGAACTGAAAAATATTTCCTGATCGAACGAGTGGCAACAAGAATAAGCTCTGGGTCCCAGGTGTTCGAATACGTTTTGGGGAAATTGAGCCGAAAGAACAGCCGTTAATCGCGACGTATACCTCGCGCACCCGGGCTCAAGCATTTGTGGCAATGTCGCCGGCAGAACAGGAACAGTGGAAAAATGGGGCCCCGCGTCGCTGCATTAGGCTGCGTTGGAACGAACCCCACCCTTAGAACGTATAAGCAACCATTATTATCACTTCTTCCGGGGGATTCTCTGCGCAGCAGCACTGATTGATCGAGAATTGGCCACCACTGTGCATGCGGCAGAGAAGCTCACTTTGTTCGCGAGGGGAAGTCCCCATCCCGGAAGACCAATGGCCACATCTTCAGCACGGGCTCGCTTGTCACCAAGAAACATAAATGGGTTCTACCAAGGAACACCTTTCCCGCGTCTACAGACGTCTAAGGAATCATCGTCGACTTGTCTCCGTCATGAGTACTGGCATCGTGTACATCGCGAAGCGGGTACAACAAAAGGTTTCCTCGTCACAAAAGCACAGCACATGAGGAAAAGCCTTGGCTCGCTAGAACCACCCCGCAGCACGCGCGAGAAATTAAGAACTAGATCATTCTATTGTAAAACAACTACGGTAACCCGTTGATTATGCGTGCCGCTATTATCCTTGAATCATCATTAATCATATGATTCATATCTCGGACGTCAGCCTCAAAGGCATTCCTGCAATTCGAGTTGTTGGTTTCACCAATATCCAAACCCTTAAAATGTAGATTCCACAAAATTGGAAACTTTCAAGTTTCGATAACTGGAGAAACTTGCATGATTTTCATAGAATTGAATTGAACAGCAAGCTTTACTTTCCGCTTTTCATCATTCACTAGGTTCAAGCAACGTTCCCACATCCAAACCCCCTCCCCTCCCCACCCACATTCATCCGAACACATTCCATCACATCAGAATGGAAAACAGAGAAATAAGCTGTTATGGATATCAAAAGAAAAGAAATTACATTACAAAATCTACAACTGAACACTGCTTTAAATGCATACACTTTCTTCCCTTCCCTGATAACAAAAACAAAATATCAGTAATAAGAATTGCAACATAAGTCAGTTACTAAACCCAAGTTAACGCACAGGTGTTCAGCCTGCTCCCAGAGAAGGTTCAGTTGACTAAACAGTTTGGAGAGGATCTTTGAAGAGAAGTCATATGTTAACAGTTTATCTTGGTCTTCTAAGATTTTGGAAAGAGTTTTATCATTGAATTTTAAGAGTACCATATCTTTTCGAAGCTCATTTCATTGAAGAAGCTGTGTTCAAATTGTATCTAGCAATTATCCAAGCAAATCTTTTCCATATCAGACGGGAATGATGGCAGTAATCGGCAGTACTAGTAGATAGTGAATCAACTTTCTACCCGTTTGAAACAATTAATCGCTGAATATTCGAGTATTCCTGTTTATCGGATTCATCCGTATAATTAAAGTTGAATACGATACAAATTTCAGGGAATCTGAAACATGCATCGCCCTTCGAAATCCTCGACAAATTCTCCCATTTTCCCCCCAGCTCGATTCAGAATAACAATTTTGCCACGTTTGCTAACTTGTAAGAAAGCATTCAGTCATTAACCTCGATGATCGAGATTTTCCTGGAACTTATTGACCTCCACTCATAAATTACTGAACGAGCAGTGATGCCTGCTTGACACGCTGCATATTTCGAATGCGACGAGTTTTTTAGTCTTTTGTTTTCCTTTTTTTATGCGAAGATAGAACCCCCTTTCGTTTTCCACTTTCGATTGTTTTGAAGAAGGAATGCAGTCATATGAACTCCGATAATCGAGATTGCACTGCAGCTAAATGAAAAGTATGCCCGTTGATCACCGATGGATCATTGATACCGATTTCATCAGATGAAGGATTTGAATAAAATTTACACGTCAGCGGTACTACAGCGGTCCTATTTTGACACGACTGGACTGACGCAACCAGATGAGAAGTTTTTTTTTCTGGCAAGGGTTTCCGGCCATTAAACATAAAGAATAACCCTGGCGGAGAATTGTAAGTACCCGGATGAATCATACTGTTCTGGTAACTTCAATATGGCATGGCTCAGGCACTTGATCAAAGTCCTCGTCTAACCCGGCGATCATTCTTCCCTACCCGAGTTCCATGGGTGAAATTGAACAGTAATCGGCATGGGTTCCTCGTAATTGTTCATACAGCTCTCGGAAATACACTCGCGGAGGAATATTGTCTTTGCAAGGGTCGATTTCTCCCCCGAAACCATTCCGTTGCCGGGGTCGGGCATAATCCCGATCATTCCGAGCGGAAAGCCGTGCACCCCGAGACTTGAGACGCCGCACTCCGTTATGAATAAATAGAGCAATCTGGTCGGCAGCTTTGAATGCGAATCATCAAGCGCGGATGAATTCCTTGAATGCCAGCGTTCAAGCCGCTGAGATTTCACTCGGCTCACTCGGAGAAACAAAGGATGCCGCGTATAGGAGGAGACGTAGGGCCAGGCCAGAAACATCATGCGCCCGACAAGCCCTCGTTTCACTAATGAAACTCAAACGAGTGTCGCCCTTCAGTCAATTACAAACCCGGCCAGGAAATAAATTCGAAGAGGAAAACGTTCCCATTACGCTCAAAGAAGCCCGGATGTATTACTGGATGGAGGATCGTATATAAAGCGGGGCTGAGGAGTATCAGCAATGGCTTGCGATGATGGGTTCGCGAGGAATGTATCCAACTGGCAGACAAAAGCTCGACGATTGTTCTAAGGGTGCTATATTTCTGGCCTGGCTTGTTTATTTTGTTTCGTCTTCGCGAGAGCATTTCTGGAGGCTGTGAAAGAGAGAGGCCCTTTTCTGCTAGAAGCAATCCCAAGATTCCCGTTGCGCCCCACGAACATATTGTTCGGCGTTTGAAATGTTTATCGTCAAGAAAAAAAAAGGTGTTTGTATGAAAATCGGGATCGCAAAGAGGCGGAATTCCTCACCGGTCACGATGAGTCGGTAGAGCAGACCGAGCTTCGGCTCGGTGTTGACCTGACATTCGTACAATCCCGCGTCTTCGGAACGCAGGGATTTGATTTCCAGCTTCCAGTCCTCGTCACGGCTTGTTGATTCGTAGCCTTCCCCTGCACAAACAATGAGCATTCAACACCGATGCATTCTCGGAATGCGACCGCTGAACAAAGGGTCTTTCCCCGGGCAAACGCTGGTTTCTTGATCTCCGAAACGCTAATTGGTAGGATTTGAACGCGCTTTCTGGTATTTTGACCGGCGTTCCGAGAGCATTTCGCGCTCTCGGAGGCCCGTAAAATAAGTTTGACAACAACATACTCCGGATTCCGGTGGTGAGTCTTTTCGGGAGACAAAAACAACAATAGCAATTCCTACCTTGAACTGCTCGGAACCGGGGGTCGGACGTGTACGTAAAAATTCCGCTCGTGAGCACGTGCAGATCTCGTTTTCGCATCCAGGATACCTGAAAGACGGAAGTAACTCACATTTAATTACAGAAATAAGAAGCACACACACTCTATTTCTCTCTCTGTAAAACATTACCAGGTACTTGAAAAGTAGTGCACGATACAAAGAAATTGCGCAGCTGAGTAACAGTACAGTCATGACTGCTTGATCCAACGAAAAATTCGTTATTTTGTATTGTAAAAAAAAAATAACTGAGTGGGTCTATAACAAAAAGCCTTTGCAACAAAAATGTTCATTGCAACATAACAGTTCTCATCGGGAAAAAAAGTGAATCTCATAAAAACAGTTTCCCCAAAATCACTTAAACTTGAGCAGATTTTGAGTTTTAATTTTGGAATGTATTTTAACCAAGGCAAAAATTGTGAAAGTGACAAAGGGGCGAAGTTTTCTTTTCTAGTCCTGAAGATTTGTGAATTTAAATTTCTGCTGAAGATATCGTTTAACTCAATAATTGTAGAATTCCTTTTATTTTATACCAATGCATTGTCTAGCTAATCATTTTATACGAATAAATTGCTAAATTACGCAGTTTTAATTTGTGAAGCTTTACTATAGCTGTTTTCATATCTCTTACGGACCCAACATTCTCTTTCATAAAATGGAAGAAATCATGTTCCTCGTAAAATAAATTTCGTTTAAGAAAACGTTTCTAATAATCATTGAATATCCGTTCAGTATTTATTTATTGAATATTCCATTCTTAAAATAATTCTGTATACTGTATAGAGAAATAGCACAGTAGAGAAACAAATGGATCATTAATGGCTCCCGGTGCAAAAGCACTTTTGTTATATTGCATAGTGAATATTAAAAATTCAACCAGCAGTATATTTTAATGGAATATTTTCTGGAAATTTTCATGAATAGAAGACAAAAATATGTTTCTCAAAAAATCGACCTCTAAGAATTCCCCGACGTCTGAAGAAAGTTTTACCGAAGTTGAAATGAAACCCAGCTAAACTGAGACGAAGAAATGTACAACTCCTTAACTGAAATAAACCAGAGAATTGACTAAAGCCATAGATCGGACAAGAAACAACTGTTTCAGACTGCAATTGTATCTGGAATTTGTTCAATGCTTAGTATTTCAGTTTTAGTTACGCTGATGAAACCATCACCTGAACTGCAGAACAGAGGTGATGCCGAGTATAAATGTATCGTATTGTACTTCTAAGCTAGTATTGTACGATAGAACTTCAGTGGTCGGGGTTAGAATTTACCGTGCCCAATTAATTGGAAGAAAACAGAGTCTTGGATAATTTCAAGTCGAGGAGTCCTATTTTATTTCGAATTACTGTACTTTATACGTAATACTTCAGTAAAATATTTTTAAATGCATTGCTTGGTCATGGGTTTCTTTAATTATTGGATGCAATTTTTAATCTTTGAATTATATTTTTCCTGCTTCATTAATCGTAATTTAGTAATGGTGTTAAATTAACCGAGGGAATGGGCCGAGATTCGCGGTAATGATGGCAATACTTCGGTATTTACGGCCATCAGAGAATACGTTTAGGAAGTGTGGAATATTTCTCTAATACAGATACTGTATAAAGGCCTCACGTCATTGTCCATGATTTTCGAAGTTATGCTTTCCTCATTGACTGCTTCGAACGATTCCAAGCCACAAATAATTAGGAGTAATTATCGGAGAAACCCCCATTACTCCTAATATTCAGCATATGTAAAATGGAGATCAAGCGTCCATTATAATTGCAATTATTCATGTATTTCTAATAAATTGAAGGAGACGCTGAAAGTTCATTTATCGATTAAAATTACAGTACTGTACTGCATATGTATTTCTCAGTTAGGTTAAACTATTGAAGCATAGAACCGGATTGCAGAGGATAGCGTGGAAAGGAAAGGCCAGCTTTCGTCGGTTAGCCTTCCGTGGGGTTATTGAGTTGCGAGACTTTTTCCTGGAGGGGAATGGAATACCATATGAAAAATGCATACAGCGGATATGTGTCCGTCACCACGACGAATCGTGTTTTTGCTGTTTCATTGCGCTGTGTTCGCAGAAAAAAGGGAGGGGGGGACACAACATTGAGCTTCGCCAAAGCGAGTTTTCGGTCACACACTTTACGAAAAATCAGCGCAGATTTTTCGCTATGCCCGGAATTCGACTGAAAGATGGCTCACCGCTCGGGTCCCGAGGTTCTTCACCCGGCACTCGAGATAAGCCGTGGTTCCCTTTGCAGCTGTGACGTTCTGATCCACCCCTTCGGTAATGATCTCGGGCTGGACAAGGTCCGACGACTCGTTGGGCTTTTTGGCGGCTAGCAGCATTCGACCAGTACCCGGAGGACCCCCGGCTTCCCGCGTCAGACATTCTGCAACAGAATAACGCGGCCCGTAACGTCGTTAGTCTCTGGCTGGGCACCATTGAACCTCGAGTCCCTCCGTGCTATACGTCTACGATACGACCATCGGACCCGGGTTCCGTCAGAAAATTCGCTTCATCGGAAAGCTTCTTTGAACGATCACAGAGAAAAAGCTTCTTGATTTTTTTTTTAACGAGTTTCTATCAAATGTCTGCACCATCATGGACACGAACGTTTGAGAGTCATAGATCAGGCCTTTCCAACTAGCAGTAAAATGGGCCATGTCACGTCATTGAAATGGTATGCGAGATGTCATCGAGCTGAAGTTGGAATCTTTCAGGAGCGGTACATATGCTGTATATATAGGAAACACAATCTAAATTCAAAAAGAATGGCAAGAATATTATAGTGTATTATAAATATTCTTCTCAAGTACGTATTTAAAATGTAAGCAAGGACATTATATGAAATGTAATGTTCTTCGTCTAAGTTACACCTTTCGTTCATATATACGTACTACGCACATAAATGCAGTATCGTGATACCCTGGAGATGGTATGCAAGAACTGTCTGGATGTGGTATGCTTGGAAAGTTGTACAATCTAAAAAGGTTGTAAAACTAAGGCATAGAGCAAAGATTGTAAACCTTTTTCCCTTTATGAGCGCTTTTTTTATTCAATGTAAATGGCTATGTATTTTCAGTGATGAATTTCCTTGGAAGAGCCCCTTTCGATCGTTACTTGAACAATATTTTGGGCAAACAAATTAAATTTGTCCGCCTTTTAATTGTTTCTGTTGCGGGTCAGACCAAACAGTTGAAGATTGAGCGTGGATTCGCCAGATAGCAAATTCAGAAGAAAGAGAGAGAGAGAGAGAGAGAGAGAGAGAGAGGAGGAGGAGGAGCTGGGCACGTAAGAAATGTAAAAAAAAATACTCTGATGATCTTCGTGAAGATACCTTCCCATTCATCATCTACTTGGAATTAGTCCGTTTAAAGTCTCAATCTACTGAAAACCACTGCTCACGAACACGATTTCGAGTTAGAATCACGTCAGTACAGACTTGACGTACACCGTGAAGCTGCAAATATGGAGTTGCAAAAATGATACAAATTTGCCGCATTTGCTGCAGATTTACTTTCTACCGTTTACCACGGAATGATACATTTTCAATGCGTCTTCTGAGTCAGTACCGACTTGACGTGAACCGTGAATCTGCAAATAGGGAGTTATAAAAATGATACAAATTTGCCGCATTTGCTGCAGATTTACTTTCTACCGTTTACCACGGAATGATACATTTTCAATGCGTCTTCTGAGTCCATAAATGCGCGTGAAAGACTTGAATATTCCGCCAGCAGTTCGGTTATTGCGGTCGCTGCGACTTACATTTTTTTTTATTGGTGGCGTGATATACTGACTAAGAACATGTCCAGCCTAGGACCCTACTAGGAGCCATCCGTCAACGGTTTTTACTCGTAACTTGACGCTGTGGAGTCCAAAGCGTCGAGACGCGCCCACAAGTACAAAGGAACCCCGGGTCGCATCAATCTTTCATCGCATCCAAAGAGTCTCGGCCCCTTTTCTGCGGTCGCGCTATCCGCCTTTTCCGTTCCAATTTAGCGACAGGATGTGGATCACGCTCCCGAGATTCCACCCCCTCGTCGCGTTGATGGCTCCGGAAACGTCGGAACAGGTTACAGGGCATGACGGGGATAATCCTCCTTTCTACCGATACCTCTCCATCATCGGAGTCGCGAATGGAGTTTGAATTCCATCAATTTTTTTATTTGTCGCGCCGGAAGCTTCCGAAGCTCGATTCATCATCATTCGAATTTTTATTTCAATCTTCAACGGCATCATGTAAGCAGATCAATCCCGAATTTGCTTCGGATGAGATCAAAATAATGTACTGTGCTGTCAAAAAGAAGATTTGATCGTTTCAATCTTAGACTATTGTTATATTGTCCACCAGATAATAGCAGCGGTAAATAAATTGTCATCTTCCGAAGATCCAGTGGGGATTATTGAAGTGGGCCACAGCGTAAAAAACTACAGAATAGTATTTCATTTCTGGATGAAAAATGATGAGAAATTTGCATTAGGTGAATTGAATTGAACAGCAAGCTTTATTTTCCGCTTTTCAGCATTCACAAAGTTCCCACATCCGAACCCCTTCCCCTCCCACATTCATCCAAACACATTCCAACACCTCAGGATGAAAAACAGAAAAATAGGCTGTGTACGGATATTAAATGAAAAGAAAATACAGTACATCTTATGAAGTATAATTGCACTCACTTTCTTCCCTTCCCTGATAACAAAAACAAAATATCAGAAATAAGAATCGTAGCATAAAGTAGTTACTAAACCCAAATTAAAGCACAAGGTGTTCAGCCTGCTCCCAGTAAAGGTTTAGTAGATTTAAAAATTTATAAAATTGCATTAGATGAAAACTGAATTTCCCTTTTGTTTAATTTGAAAAATATTCAATTCACTGATAAAAAGACAGTGCAAGAATAACTGATCCAAAAACTGTATATTTTTGCAAGTTTTCTGCCTAAAATGTACTTTAAATTTAAAAATAATTTCAACATTGAGCTGTCGTTTAAACTAGTCAGAGGATGAAAACGATTGTGATTTGCACTACAAAATATCAAAACTATTCCTTTTCCAGAAGAACTAAGTTCGGGGGTCAGTTTTACATGAAATTCCTGCAAATAGCGAACATGTTTTAGTTTTTATAATTGCAATTAAATGGCTGAAGCGAAAAATGAAAATTAAAGAAGTCGGATGGATAGCGTCGTTTGTTTATTCTGAATAAATCGAAAATTTGGCAGGATTACTCGTACACCGAGGGACCAGGGTTGTCCTGCGCTGGAAGATAATAATTTTAAAGATACGGTATCGCATTGTATCAGGATAACGTTGAAAGATATTCAATCATAGCACTGTGAACTCCATTGTGGAATTGTGAATTCAATCATAGTACGCGAAGGACTCATTGATGAGTCAGGATTTTGCTTTCGTCTTTCTTCGAAAAATATATTCTGTCATGCATTATAAACATCCTCCAGAATGACTGAGAGTTTATTGGGGTATTTCTTATTGTTTTCGTGTGACAAAAATAGAAAAATCCATGAATTATTACAGCTGTACGGCATTAGATCGAATGTGCTGAACGATTCGGAGATGGGAAGTACTGCATTGCACTGTTTTGAAGGTAGAGGTAACTTCGAATCCGTGGCATACTGGCGGAAGATTTCAAATAATAAAAGGTAGGCTGAATAGGCAAAATTTGGAACTTGAAAATCGAGGCAAATTCATGATGGATCTCTGAAAGAGATGCATCTAAATAAAACCCTATTTCTAATAAAAGTCTCGTCTCAGACCTACAAGCCCTCAACAAAAGCCCTAAGAGACAAATGGTCCAAACTATAAGCTCCTTTGGTGGGTTCAAAGTGTGTGTTAAAAGCGCGTTCAGTTGATTGCAGAGGAAAAGTTTGCGCGATATAAAATTGCTGCTTCTATTTCTGAATCGCGAAATGTAAGATGGAATGCGTTTTCTTCTTCTCGGCAACTTGTGAGCTTTTTTTTCAGACACGAGAAAGTTCAGCTCGGTCCGTCTTTTTGTCGAATGAATGGAACGCCCTCGTTCATTCATAAAAAAGCCAGTCCTATGGCAACATTTCTCCGACCTCAAAAATACATGAAGGACATGTCGAAACAGAGATGCAGTCGGAAATTGCGAATGTAGGCGAGACTACAGCGTTTGAAATTGAAGATGCCCCGGGATTGAAGAACTCCAACTCGATCAAGGAAATTAAATCACAGCAAAGAAGCACTTCAGATCATGAAGTAATGATCCTTCCAGTATCTGTTCCAAAAATACCGCGTGTCGAACAATTTGCGCCTATGCGACGACAAAAAGGAACCGGATGTCGTTCGGAATAATCTAACCGGAGCAACCTCGTGAAACCGTGATACAATTCCAGAGCGAAGGGGTACAGAACATAAAGAACTGATATGAAAAGATTTCCTCCTCGTTTTACGACCGGAAAACGTACAAACCTAATTTGATGGGAAGTTCGGGCCATCGAATCAACGACCAAACTCCGTCTCTGATGTCCAAGAGAATAAAGGAGGCCCGAAATGACGAAAAAAGGTCCCCACGAACAAAGAATCGCGGGAAAGGAATGAAATCATTCATTGCGCAATAATCGATTCGTTAAGGAGAGAGCGGAACCATGAACCCTACCTCGCATTCGTCCTTTCTATCTGCTCGTACCTCGACTGCCCTGCCACTGCCCCGCTTAAAATAGAAAGGCAGCTGCAAAGTTATCCCTAGAGTCTAGGGAACAGAAACCAAGAAACCATTCCCTGCGTCAATTTTTACGACGCGTCACCCCGCATTTGCTGGAGGGTTTGAAAATGAAAGCGTTTCCCACCATGGGGGCACAATCGGTCAAGGCTTTCTGACGCGAGAAATAATGTCTGCTCTGGTCGCTCACCATGATATTTTCCTTATCGCCGTTTTTACGCGATTATAGGCCACACCCTAATTTTTCTAACTACAGTATTTTAAGGGAAAATAACTTTTGGGATTTAAGCAGTAAGCGCGACCATCATTCTTGATTTAAAAATCATGCATGCGCAATTAAATTTGAAAAAAAAATTAAAGAAAAATTGATGAATGCAATTGTGTCCTCGATATCATGTTACCTCGAATATAGGCCTCACACACAAGAGTGTGATGCAGACTTTAGTGGAATATGTGGAATCTACAAACCCGTATATACTTCAACATTTGAAGTACAGTATACATATCTGTTTTAATAAGATCAAGTAACAGCTTATAACCATCATGTTATAAAATTAAAACCGCAGGCAGCCGAACGAAAAGCACTAGTATTCGTAGAAATAGTAAAATTTAATCCGTTTAATAAAGGAATGCCCACGCCTTGAAAGACTCCAATTTACAATGCATGGCGGTGCCCTGAATTGCTCGAT